GGCCCGTGCGGCGCCGGGACGCTGCCGTTCGCGTATTCATCGTGCCGGAGAGCTTCGGCTTTTCTGGGTGTTAAACCGCTGGAATATGGATTTACCCACCAAATCCGGGGAGCACATCTTGCAATATCTCAGGAAAATCCTTTTTTTTTATGTAAAATGACTCTGAAAGGCGCTTGGCTGGCGCCGCGTCCTTCGCCGACCGTTGCATCCCGCACCCCGTGCTTTCCTTTAGCTCCGTCTTGCGCCCATCAAGTGTCTCCCCCCAAAAACCGCCTGTGTCCCGTTAAAAAAAAAAAACAAAAAAAAATCATTTTTACTATAGGAACAAGGGTTTCTCGTTGTAAATATATTTCCGCGTGATAATGGAAATATTGAACCGCGCATCCTTTGGGGAGCGACGAGAAATTCCCACGTGCTATCCCCAGCGCGGGGCCGCTCACCCTTATTCCCTCTAAGAGATAAAAGGAGATAAAATGCATTAAAAAAAACTCTGCAGAATTTATCTTTTTAAGGAACTAACTGACCTTCAAGCCTTACCTTCCAGCAAGGTGCCCGCAGTGGGATTTTTCTTAGAAAAAATGGCATTTTTTAGGCATACAACCTTTCGAAAACACATATAGGTACCGAACAGGTAACTCACAGTGGCACCATTTTTGGGGGGGGACTTTAGATCTGCTTTAACCATCCAGAGCTGCAATTTTAGGTTTAGAAAGCAGAAAAACCTCTATAATCGGGATGGCAAAAATAATCTCGGGCAATGGCAGCGGTGGCAGTTTGTGCCGGACGATGCTGAAGCATCCGAGACGTGGTGCAAATTCAGCCCCTCCTCTGCAAAAATAAATAGATTTTGCAGGAGTTTGTGCACTCGGGAGGGAGAAAAGCAACGACCAGCCATCGGCCACGATGACGTGCAACCGTTTGCATCCTCGCCTCGCGCCGAAAAGTGTGGTTTAGCATCCGATTTGGGGCAAAATCCTGCGTTTTTCGCAAAGGCGGCCGCCAGCTGCTGCTGCAGAGCTCCATTAACCCAGCGCTGGGATGACACCAGACCTCCACTTCGTTAAGTTGATGGCTCTCGCTAATTTTCGCCCTGTCCTTTCGGGGCTCCTCGCCATCCGGCGACCGGCCGGGACGGATGCACGCAGTTGCCTTCATCCTTACTTTACAACCATCCTCACCTTCATCCTATTTAGCATCCGTGCTTGGAGGGTTGCATCCCTCCAAGCCTTCAGCCCTTCTTATTTCCAAGGAATTTAAGAGCATCCGTGTTTTCCCATGTGCTTTTCCTTCCCCGGGAACACAAACACCAGCTCAATCGGTGGAATAATTCGGGATATTATTCGGGATTATTTCGACGCGGAGCAAAAAGCAGCCCTGATGGTGCAAGGATGGTGCAACCCGATGAGCCGAAATACATAATTATTGCAGACGTGACCTTGCTGGGATGAAAGACCAGACGGCCAGGGATGCTCGCCTCCAAAAAAACCCAGGGCAGACTTGACGCAGGGTCTCCTGACGAAGCCAGCGCTCCCCGGCCTTAATTAGGTGTCCGTCATTAAGCACAGAGCTCGAATAACCGTGCGTCCAAACCTCCCCGGCCCCGGCTCGCGATGTTATGGCACTCAAATGCATGAAAAAAAAAAAGCCCGGTGTGGTTGCAGAGCATCACATCTCATCGTACCGGAGCTGCATCCTTATTAAAAGAATTATAAAACCATTTTGCAATTAATATTTTTTTAGGATGCAATGTTGAACAGGGTTTTAGCGACACCCAGGGCTTAATTTATCTTCATCCCAGGGCAGAAAAATGTTGCAAAGCAGCTTCGTTGGCTTCAAAGCTCAGCAGAGGAATTATTTTCTGTCCCGTTTGGAAACTGGGTGTAATTTGGGCATGTGGTCAGGGACCGTTTTTCCCTCCAGCTCTTGCATCGCTAATAGATTTGCAGGGAAAACACCATTTTTTGCAGCTTTCTCTGTCCTGGAGTTACTTCTTGGGGCTACATCTAGCTCAGGTGTCCCAAGGGAGTGATGAAAAATCAGATGTTTCTGGGGAAAATCACCTTTTTTTAAAAAATATAGAGGAAAAAAAGCAGTTCATTGAATTTCAAAGCATGGGGATTATTTTTTTGGGGGTGGGTAAAGGACATGGCCGGACTGAATTACTCTGCATTTGGGAGAGCTGATTTACCCGTGCAAACAGGTGTCAAAAAACCTCTCAAACCTCAATAAACCCAAATCTTGAGGTTTTCTTATGAGCTCGGGAACTAAATACAGATTTGGGGGGGGGGATTTGGTTGATTTGGGGTTGCTGGAAGCCTTTGATAAAAGCTGAATATCCCTTGAAAAGCAGCGTCACTGTTTAACAGCCAAGCCCTGCGCTTGGTGCAGAAATTATTAGCAGCGTGTGTTTTGCAAGAAATTTGGGATAAAAAGCACCTTTTGACGGAAATATCGCCGAATTCGTGCGCCGGGGCTGTGCGATGAGTTAAGTGGTGGCAGCAAATGATTTTTGCAGAAAAAAACACGCCATGGTAAGAAATAGCCTGTGGGGTTTGGGGGAGTTGAACCAACTCACAGGCGTGCCTGTACCACGCCGGCAGCGGGATGCAGAGAGCCCGAGGCTGCCCTTAGCTCCGGAGCCAGGAGCGGGACAGACCTTCTGGGATCCAAACCATGCCAGAAAGCATCTCTGTTTTTCCCAGCTCGTTCAGTCGGGTTAATAAAAAAACCATAGCCGCCTTGCCGGAGGGTCTGCGGAGCGGTGCTGAGCCTCACCGGGCTGCTGGCAGCCTGGGGAGATGTAAAAACTAGCATTTTTTTAAAAGTTGGATCAAAATGGAGAGTCACTGAGCTTTGCTGTTAGGCAGTGTCTTTGCTTTGGACCTAGCCAACGTCTTCAGTTTGCTTTTAGCTAGTGGCCTTGGTTCGAGCCGAGCCAGCATCCCTGGTTTGATTTCAGCTGGCATCCGTGGTTCGGTCCTAGCCAGCATCCTCGCGTTGGTCCTAGTCAGCATCTTTGGTTTGATTTTAGCTAGGGTCCTTCATTCAGTCCCAGCCAGCATCCTCGGTTTGGTTTTAGCCAGCATCCTTTGTTTGATTTTAGCCAGCATCCTTGGTTTGGTTTTAGCCAGCATCCTTGGTTTGGTTTTAGCCAGCATCCTTAGTTGAATCCTAACCAGCATTGTTGGTTTGATCCTAGCTTACGTCAATCCTAGCCATCATTTTCAGTTGGCATCCTTGATGCCATCCTAGCCAGCATCCTTGCTTTGACCCTCACAAGCATCCTTGGTTTGGATTTAGCGAGGAGCCTTGGTTTGATACGTGCCAGCACCCATGGCTTGATTCTGGCATCCCTGAGTTAATCCTGCCCAGCGTCCTTGCTTTGGTCCTAGCCAGCATCCCTGGCTTGATTTTAGCTAATGTCCTTGGTTCAGTTCTACGGAGCATCTTTTCTTCGGCCCTAACCGGCATCTTGTGTTTGAATTTATCTAACGTCCTTGGTTCGGTCCTAGCCAGCATCCCTGGCTTGATCCTGGCCAGCATCCTTGGTTTGACCCTGGCCACCATCCTTGGTTTGACCCTGGCCACCATCCTTGGTTTGACCCTGGCCACCATCCTTGGTTTGACCCTGGCCACCATCCTTGGTTTGACCCTGGCCACCATCCTTGGTTTGACCCTGGCCACCATCCTTGGTTTGACCCTGGCCACCATCCTTGGTTTGACCCTGGCCACCATCCTTGGTTTGACCCTGGCCACCATCCTTGGTTTGACCCTGGCCACCATCCTTGGTTTGACCCTGGCCACCATCCTTGGTTTGACCCTGGCCACCATCCTTGGTTTGACCCTGGCCACCATCCTTGGTTTGACCCTGGCCACCATCCTTGGTTTGACCCTGGCCACCATCCTTGGTTTGACCCTGGCCACCATCCTTGGTTTGACCCTGGCCACCATCCTTGGTTTGACCCTGGCCACCATCCTTGGTTTGACCCTGGCCACCATCCTTGGTTTGACCCTGGCCACCATCCTTGGTTTGACCCTGGCCACCATCCTTGGTTTGACCCTGGCCACCATCCTTGGTTTGACCCTGGCCACCATCCTTGGTTTGACCCTGGCCACCATCCTTGGTTTGACCCTGGCCACCATCCTTGCATTAATCCTCTCCGGCATCCTTGGTTTAATCCAAGCCGGTCCCCACGCTTGAATTTTCAACTTTGCTTTGCTCCTTTGCAGCATCCCCACCAGCGTCCTCCGTTTAAATTTAACACCATTTCCAGCCTATAGGTGTAAATATCTAAACCTATCTATCTAAACATCTTCCCGATGGCAGTGACGGGGCGGGTGCAGCCCGCTGCACCCGGCGTCCTCTCGGCAGCTCTTGCACAAACCCAAGTCCTTGCAAAAACCCAAGCGCTTTCCCTTCCCGAATCCGCCGCGGCGTGGCATCTCCTTGCTTTTCATCTAGTTTCGGCTGGGTATTTTAGCTTTGGCTGATGCAAAAACGAAGTGAAGGGGCTCGTGCTTCAGAAGAAAACTCAATCCCTCTCTGGAGTTTCTAGCGCATCGGGTAAAAAGCGGAATTTAGGCATTTTTATTGCCCGTTCCCATTTTTTTCAGCCGTTTTTCACGGTGGATTGTCCTGGCGAGCGCTGGGTGGCAAATCCCCGGCTGGTGTTAGCGCCGGGAGGGGACGGCGGGCGCCTGGGCGGTGAGACCTGTTTTTTTTTCAGCCCTGCGCGCTTTCAAGCCGCGCGTTTGCTTTTTTTTCCCTAACGAGAGAAAAAAAAAAAAAAAACCTGCGCGAGAAAAATACCGAGGCGCTGTGTTTTGCCCGGGTGAGGGAGAAATCAGGACAACGCCGTGACGGAGCCGCCGCCCGTACTCATTTTCCTGAAAATTCCAGCTCGACTCTGCCGAGCGGCCTGTTTCGGGGACGCTCGGGGTTTCGGCGCAAGAGATGCGCGCCGCCTCGCCGCTCCCGCGTCCCT